TTCTTCCAGCCGTTCTCTTCATCTCTTGGGGTCAGGGCATTTGCTTCCAGGGTCACACTTCCCCCTCCCTCCAAAAATGAGCTTTATCGACCAGTAACTCTATGTTGGACCCGTCACACACCCTGAGCCCGGCCCAGTGCAGTCGAGCTGGTGTCTCTCTCGGGGCTTTTGACAGACGATTTGGCTGTCACTTTGCTGCGGTGAATGGTGGGATCTCCTGGGCTTTTCTGGTCTTGGAGACTCTGAGATGGTGTGAATAAACAGTTTGTGATTTTTTTTATTTTTGGGGGTTTTTTAATTTTTGTTTCATGTTGGACCTTGTGAGAACTCTACTTGGGGGCAGCTGCACCCTTGCAGAGGGTAGGTATGAGGCACGGGCACCTCTGTACTCAGACCCGCAGCCTTTGTGCTTCCCCCCGTGCATGGGGGAGCCTTCCTCCTTTATATATTGCACTCTGGCTTTCTGTTCTGCGTAGCCCATGTCGCACCACACCAGAGGGGATCTAGACCCCAGCTGGGACCGGTCACACCTAAGCAAGCTGTACAGAGCTGCATCAAAAGCAAAACTGGAGCGCGCTCTCGAGTCGTGTCACTGCAGAGTTCTGTGAAACCTGCTCGTTCATCGGGATCCATGTGTCTGTTGTCAGGAATTTTAAGAGTACTGAAGTGGATTTGAATTCCAGTCTGTTAAATGCTATTACTGAAATATTTATTGTAATAAATAAATAAATAAATAAATAAAATAAAGAGAATATTAATTTAAATGTCAGTAAAAAATAATAATAATAATAAATTTTTTTTCCAAGCCTTTTAATTGTTTTCTGCTGTGTCTCTGTTCCTGTCAAGTGGCTGAATGTGATTGAGGGTGGGGAATATTGCACTTTGACCTGGGGCATAGAGTTTAGTGTGCCTTGTTCTGGTGGGGTCACAATGCGCTCACAGACGGACTTGGTTGCATTAGGTTGGGGGAACATCCTGTGTGACTCTCCCAAATAAAGGCACTTACTAGTGACCTTAATGCCAGCAGACTGCCCCTTTATTTGTGGTTCAGTTGCCCTAGGGGTGCCAGTGCAGCTGGACTAAGCGCAGTATAGGCACAGTGGGAAAAGTCAGGCCCTCTTGCAAAGACCTCACAACCCATCGAGCTGTGTTGTGCTGCTGTAGGTTCAGATGTGGTCAGCGAGTGAAGCACCGCGATGACAACTGGCAGAATAAAGTCTCTTGGTCAAGACCACTCAAATTGGGCCTGGCCAGGTCCAAATAATTGCTTTTCTTTTTTTTTTTAAACAACTGCTGATGCTTTATCTCCACGCGATTCGGGTCTCGTCGGAAGATAAGTGTCCTTGTTGAATAAAGACCGAAGGGTGTTTGTACCCGAAAGCTTGCAAAGAAGAATTTTTCCAATTTTGTGAGTTGGTCTAATAAAAGATATCAAATTTACCCAAAGAAACTTGTCTGCTCTTGTTGAATAAATACACAAAGGCAAATGCATATCATCGCTCTTTGCTACTATTCATTTTCAAGGGGCCTAAGTGTGGCTAAAGTAGGCAACTGTCAATCCTTCTAGATCCTGGTGTATGCATAAGAGCTCACCAGGATCTTTGCCTACCCCTAGGCAGGAGCAGGAGGGAGTGGGGCTGCCCAGCCCTTCCGTCCCCCTTTTATACCACTGAGACCTGAAACCAAAGACCAGACATATTGAACCCCTGTCTGGGGTGAGGTTGGAGCCCCAGTATCAGGACTGGAAAGGGGTGGCTGATGGGTTATTAGTGACCACCACTGGGCATCCAGCAGTACCAGAGTACATGCCTGCCTCAGTTTTATTTGTGGAATAGGATTCATCAGGACAAAGGATGAAGGTGGAACAAAAAAAAAGAATTTATTAAACATCAAACAAAGGGGAAGTGGAAAATAATAGTATTAGAAAACCATATATCAGCTGTGCTTCTGTGTCTTTAGTGCTTGCTGGGGACTCGGAGGAGCAGACAGGATGCAGCAGTGGCTTTCCTTTTCCATGGAGTCGCCTTTTTGCCTCCTGCTCCAACACCTACCAAGCAGACCAGCCACTTTTTGACTGGAGCGTTCGCTCCTATGAAAATGTGCTGAAGCCATATGCACACCCACACATGCACGCTCCCTCTGAGGGATTTACAACCACCTTAAATACCATCATTCATGTCCTGTCACCCCACCTTCATCCTTCCAGTTGTGCAAGGTTGCCACGTGCCAACCACTGCTTCCACCAATCATCCTCACCGTACATGCTGCCACTCCACTCGGCCTAATCGGTTAGCTGGCTTTAGCTCAAAAGAGGTACCAGTTTCCTGCCACGGTTACACTCGCCATCATGCATGCTCTGCAAGTCGAATCAGGTTAGTAATTCAGAAATTATCAATGCGGTCCAGCAAGTTGTCGAAGAGACGCATCACTGCATCACAGAAAACTCAGCTCTGGCGCTTTCCAAGGGGTGTCTTGGAATCGAATCTAAAAAGGTTGAGAAGCACTGGTTTAGGAAGTGCGTTGATATGTTGATGCTACAGGATGTATGTTGATGTAAAGGAGCTTGAAAGGCAAGTGCGTCAGAGCTGTATAAAGATTCATTACAGCTATAAGATGCTGCATTACACGCACCAACTTCTAGTGGTTAATTAGATCATAGGTCAGCAAGAGCCACGGAAAGATCATTTAATCCAACCAGGAATCAAACCTGCAGCCTTGGCATTATTAGCAACACACTGTTCCCAACAGAAGTAAGTGGCCACTATACTCACTAGTCACTTGTCCTAGCCCAAACTTTGACTGATGCCCAGCTGGCTGCGCTGGTGCCATGGGTAAAGGTCAGCATCTATCCACCTTCCCGTGGGTGCAGAAACAAGCTGCAAAGCACAGCAGAGACTTGGTGTGGATGATCAGAGCAAACCCTAGGCAGGGGTGAGGATAACACCCAGGAGCCCTGACAGCAGTAGGCAGCGAAGAAGGCTGAAGTGCTCAATGCCGTCTTCACGTCAGTCTTCACAGGCAAGATCAGCTCCCAGACTACTGCAGCGGGCTTGGGTTTGGGGAGGAGGTGAGCAGGCAACAGTGGTGAAAGAACAGGTTTGGGACTATTTAGAAAAGCTGGATGGGTACAAGTCTGCGGGGCCAGATGGGATGCAGTCGAGGGAGCTGAGGGAGTTGGCTGACATGATTGTAGAGCCACTGGCCATTATCTTTGAAAACTCATGGCAATCAGGAGAGGTCCCAGATGATTGGAAGAGGGCCAGTCTAATGCCCATCTTTAAGAAAAGGAAGAAGGGGGCTTTGGCGGAGACCCCGGGGCACTGATGCCAGGTATTCGGGATGGGCAGCTTGTCCCCAGGGACTGGGGGAGAAGTGGGGTTACTGGGGCGAGGCTGGGGACTGCAGAGCCTCTGCCACTGCCTCTCCCAGTGCTGCACTGGTAGCTCTGGCAGCTCCTGTGTCACCGACTCCAGCACCACCCAGCTCAGGGGCACCTTGCCGGGTCCCCGGCCCCTGCCCCAGGCTCGGGCTCTGCTTCTCCATCATCATCAGAGCCTGGCGGCCTTTGGCCCTACAGTGGAGGCTGCGCCTTGCACAGGCAGACGCTCACCCCTGTCTGTGGGGAGAAGGCAACAGGAATGGGGGAGCCACGACCTCCGCAGGCCCCATGAGGTTGAAGTTGGTTGCTTATTCCCAGTTCCTGGTTCCTGGTTCCTTTTTCTAAAGCTAATCTCGACCCAATAAAATCTTGTTATTAATTAATTACACATCCTAAAGAGAGCATTTCATTTGCTATGCATATATACTAATTAATATGTAAAATAATATCCCCCATCAAGAACAGAGCCCTAAATGAAGACTAGATTAGGATGGGATTATGGGGCAAAATATTTCTTGGGCCAACCCAACCTTCCTGTTGATGCCATTGGAGAACTGTCCCAAAGATGCCTGACCACAGTCCTGCCCAGCCCAAAGCATAGCTTGGCTGTGCCAGGCTGCCAAATGACAGCCCCCCATGCTCACTGTACTAAGTATCATGGCTTAAATAAGAAAATGGATTTTGGGCTTGGGTTATGGTTGGAAATCATGTTTGGACCACCCCATGGTATACCTCTGTACACCAAGGGGCTCTCCCAGACACATCTGGCCAGAGTCTTTCCCTGTTCAGAGCGCAGTTTGTCCGTGCCAAGCTGCCAACTGGCAGACCCCCATGCCTACTCTGCTAAGTATAATGGCTCGAATAAGGTGCTGGCTTTTGGGCTGGGATTATGATTGGAATTTCTTTTTGGGTGTGAGAGTTAAGATACGCCTGCAAAATAAATCACAATCTCTCATTTTAATATGAACTGGTTAATTTCCTTTATTTCTTGCCCGCCGTGACTTTGATGGAATAAGGTAGGGAAACAAACACAGTCCTGAGAGATGGAGAAGATTTTGTGTCTGCAGTTCAGCAAAAATAACTCTTCTGCATAGTTATTATGTCTCTCTTAGACAACTAACATCTAGATATATTTAGTTTCCTCTCTTTGGGAGCCCTCAATTTCTTGGTTGCTTGCCCCGTTGTCCTCCGCACGGGTCCCAAGCAAATGGCAATCCTATGCCACCTTGCATTTTCTACTGATATCAAAATGTGGGGTTCTCCTTTCTTAGTTAAATGTCATCCACTCTTGTTTCTTTGGTCCTTGGGAGAGTACCAGACATCCTCAGGTATCAGACTCACCAACTCGGAGGTCTCTCTCATTACCTCACTTCAGCTTCCCAGGTAAGTCTCTCTCCAGGACTCTTCTTCCATTCTCTTCTCTCTGCCATCTGTTGTTTTTTTTCTTGTAGTTTCTCCCTATTTCTTCTAGGTTTCTTTCTGCTCTTTTGAGAAACTAATTCTGGACTCCGTTCCCCTTTAAATCCTTCAAGCTGTTTCCTGCCTCCCTTGCAGCCGGCACTCCCCTTGCTCCCTCTGCACATGCTGCTGTTTGTTTTTGTTTCCTTCCGGGTCCCCCTCTCCTCCATCCCGGTATTGCCGTTCCTTTCTCTCCTCGGACTCATTGCTAAGGTAAACTCTCTTTTTCCCTTTGCTTCCCCAGACTTGTTGCCCTGTTACATTGGGCCACCCCACACCAGGGGACTTTCTTGGACATCTCTGACCAGAGACTTGCCCAGCCCAAAACACGGTTTGGCCGTGCCAGGCTGCCAACACACACCACCCCCCAGATGCTGTGCTACGTATATGGACACAAATAAGGAACTGGATTTTTGGCTGGGATTAGAGTTAGAAATCCTTCTTGGCCCACCTCACATCATGCCTCTGCGGCACTGGGGGACTCTCCTGGACGCCTTTGGCCAATGTCTGCCCCAGTCCAAAGCACGGCTTGGCTGTGCCAGGATGCCAACTGTCAGTCCCACATTCCCACTGTACAAGCTTATATATTTACTAAAAGGAACTGGCATTTCGGCTGAGATTACAGATTAAAATACTTTCTAAGCCACCTGACACCATGCCTGTGTGTGACTAAGGGACTCCCCTGGACATTCCTGATGAGAATCTGGCCCATCTCAAACAATGTTTTGTTCATGCCAGGCTGTCAACTGGCAGTTTCCTCATTCCCACCGTACGAAATATATCAGCTCAAATGAGGAACTGGGATTTGGGCTGAGATTACAGATTGAAATCCCTTCTGGGCCACCTGACATCATGCCTCTGTGGCACCTGGGGATTCCCTTGGATACCCCTGACCAGAGTCTTTCCTAGGCCAGAGTGTGGTTTCTTCTTGCCAGGGTACTAACTGGCAGCCCCCCATGCCCAATGCAGTAAGTGTACAGGCTTGGATAAGTAATTTCTTTTGAACTGAGATTACAGATGGAAATCCTTTCTGGCCCACCTGACACCATGCTTCTCCGGCACCTGGGTTCTCTCCCAGACCCTCCCTGACCAGAGTCTTGCCCAGCCCAGAGCATGGCTTCCTTGTGCCAGACTGTTAACTGGCAGCTCCCCATGTCCACTGCACTAAGTATAATGGCTCAAATAAGGAATTTCTTTTGGGCTGGGAATAGAGATGTAAATCCTTCTCAGGCCACCGCACAACATGCCTCTGTGGCACCGGGGGACTCTTCTGGACACTCATGACCAGGGTCTTCCCTGGTCAAAAGAGTGCTTTGGCCATGCCAGGCATCAATTTACTCCTCATCCTCATGTGCTATTTGCTACCAATAAGGAGCTGCCCTTTTGTTGGGATCATGGGGCAAAACCCTCATGGTAGTATAGCCCAGGTCACTTGGGTGTGTACTCCCTTCTCCAATTGAAGGGAATTGTTAGCTGGCAGGTGTGCTTTGGGAGAATCACAGACGGCTCAGTTTCCCTCCATCCCTATAGAAGAAGGCCAGGACAGTCAGGGGACTTCCCCTGGCACGGATCTTTGAGAACTCGTGGCGCTCTGGTGTAGTGCCCAAAGACTGGAAGAAGGCCAATGTGGTGCCTATCTTCAAGAAAGGGAGGAAAGTGGATCCGGCAAACTATAGGCCCATCAGCCTGACTTCTATCCCGGGGAAGGTCTTAGAAAAGTTTATTAAAGAGGCCATCCTTAATGGACTGGATAACAACAACATCCTGAGGAAAAGCCAGCATGGGTTTGTTGCAGGTAGGTCTTAGATTCATAGATTCATAGATGTTAGGGTTACATAGTTTCTAGGGTCGGAAGGGACCTGAACAGATTATCAAGTGCGACCCTCTGGGCAAGAACGAGTGCTGGGATCAGATGACCCCAGCTAGATACTCATCTAACCTCCTCTTGAAGACCCCCAGGGTAGGGGAGAGCACCACCTCCCTTGGGAGCCCGTTCCAGACCTTGGCCACTCGAACTGTGAAGAAGTTCTTCCTAATGTCCAGTCGAAATCTGCTCTCTGCTAGCTTGTGGCCATTATTTCTTGTAACCCCCGGGGGCGCCTTG